TTTCTTGTTGTAAGGTATATCGCCGGAATATTTTCCCGTCTGTTGGCGGCAAGTAGACGAGTGGCAATGGGGAATCCTGTAGATTAGATTCCTATTTATGTGGATAATTATCTTGCCGGAATATTTTCCGGCCGGTTGGTGGCAAGGATTCCGTTGGCAATGGGGAGACCGATCAGGAGTAGATTAGATTCATAATTACCTGAATAATTTGGCCGCCTAAAGCATCTATTTTACTTTCGGCTTTTTCTGGAGATTCTGATTCGTTATAATTAAATGATGGTTATGATTTATGTCACTTGTTCGGTAAAATTAGTTAAGAGTTGGTTTTCATTTCAATATTACGGTTTTCAAACTGTCACTGAACGACCTCTATTGAGTAGGTCAGATTATTTCAATTTTTATTTATTTATTTATTTATTTATTTATTTTATTTATTTATTTTTACCTCTCAACATTTCTCACAGCACACACACGACCAGGCGTGTCCATCCTCGTACTTTTTTTTTTTTTGGCTAATAAAAAATGCATATATATTCGGTGAAATTTCTTGTATTTGTTTATATTATTTGTTAACATATGACATTTCATTAACAATAGAAAGTCTGTACATCAAATATAACATAAGGGTCAAGTATTGTTACAAACTGGAGTATGTTAGTCCTGCTATTTTAGGATAAAACCTAAACATGGCTAGTCGAGCCCCTTCTGGTCCGGATTGTTTAACACACGAGTCGCATAAAATCAACCCTTCTGTAAGTTTTGCAGCATTAAAGCCCGAGTTTTGCCTTCGGGCTTGAGGCCCATCTCGTGCATTTTCTTGTACAGTTCTCTAGCCAGATCAGCCCTTCCCTTCAAGCACATACCCTGAATAGCAGCATTATATAATGATCCATTTGGTTCAGCCTGCAACATGACCAAAGAGAAGAGAAGCATTTAGATTTTAGAAAAACTTCAAACTGGGAATATTCGATTTACCCTTAAAAAAACTTCTCCATCCCTTGGAATCTCAAAAATTGCTCGGAATATGTGAGGGTTTCGACAATTTCTGGTTGAAAATTTACGGGGGCTTAAAGCCAATTTCTAGCCGAACCGAGGATTATTAACTTAGGAGCAATTTTCAAAAGATCTCCTGACAAATCTTGATTTTTCTTGCAAAATTGACTGAATCATGAAGTTATCGAGAACTAACATGCACATTGATTTAGTGCTCAACTTACATCAAAACAACTTTCAAAGAAGTATTCAAATATAAATAAATAAATTAAAAAAAAAACTACCTTTAGGATTTCCTCAACCTTATTCCAAAGCGAACCCCACACACAACTTCTTACCAACGACAGCCGAGTGAAAACGTCCGGAGAAAGCTTTTGCCGAGCCATTTGCTCATAAACCTGCAGAGCAACCTTTGGCTTTCTCGCAACCTCACAAGCTCCAATAACAAGATTATATGACACGACAGAAACAGGTGAACCCGAAACTTCCATCTCCCATATTATCTCCACGGCCATTTCCCACAGTCCCAGCCTCTGACAAGACATCAAACACGCATTATAAATATGTACATTTAATACTTCCTTTTGCTCTTTTCTGATGCTTACGAAAAGCCGAAGGGCATCGGCGTATCTTTCGGCCCTATTCAACGCACCAATCAACGAGTTCCAAGTGTACGCGTCTGGCAAATATCCTAAAGATTTCATAAGATTATATATCTCGAATGCGAGCTTGACTTGAGATGCTTTCCCGAGCGAGTTGAGCAAGGCATTACAGGTTATAAGGCTTGGCTTAAGTTTACTATCCATCATGTTTCGAAAAACGTTCAGTGCCAAATCCCATTTGCCTTCTCGAGCGCACGCCCCAATAATAGCTTGCATGGCGTCCTCATGCGGCCCCAGCCCGTTTTTTATCATCTCGTGATATGCATCGAGAGCTAGCTCGTTCTGACCACACCGGACGAATGTACAGATCAATATACGGTAGGTGACAGCTGTTCCTTTCGGCCCATTTTCTTGCAAACTTCTCCATATTCTCTCGACCCGGGCCCACTCGTCAGCTTTCCCGAATATTGATATCAACGTGTTGTAAACAACCGTATCGAGACATTTCATTGCTTTCTTGTTCTGCTCGGCTTCCTCAAAAATCCTTAGCGCTGCATCACTATCGCGAAACCGGGCAACTGCTTTCAAGATCAAGCTGTAAGTGTGGCCAGTGGCAATATCTCTCGACTTCATAAAATCGAACACGTTCAGGGCATCATCTAATCTTTCATTTCGAAGCAAACAGTACACAAGTGAATTACAAGCGTGCGAATTAGGTAGTAAATCAGAAAACAGCATCGACCGGTACAATGCCAAAGCGCTTCGAATTTTATTCGACCTGCTGAGTTTTAAAACCCTGTTCGACAGTATCTCTTCATCTCTTTCCTCCAAATAGTACATCTCGTCCTCAAACGTGTGGACGGGATTTACGGATTTTTCTGAACGAAAATCCGAATGATGTTCATACTCCGAATTTTGATCGGACAAGTCACCCCAAGGAGGAAGTGTGCTCTGTGAGTAATTTTCACAAACACCTTCCCTCCCTTCTTGTACCGGCACACTCTGCGCCTCACAAACCGACTCAAGCTCGGAATATTTTACTCGTAAAGACTTCTTATTCACAATTTTCACTTCGAATCCAAAACTGAAGAAACTGACGGAAGGTAAATGGGGTTTAAGATCGCGTTTTCTTAAACAGCAATAAGTTTGAGTTTGACGGGTATTTGTACATACAGAGATGTGAGAACCTATGTACATCAAGTCCGCCATTATCATATCCGAACTAAGTGCTGAAAGATGCAATCTTAATTGCCTTACATTCTTTAGTGAAATTCGAGAGACTCTTCTTCAGAAGCACACGATTCTTGGATTTCAGAGGCAGCCCAAGTGAAATATGTCGAAAAAGGCTATGAAAAAATGAAGCTTTATCTCAAAAGGACTGTGAATTTGCAAAGGGGACCAACTTTCGGAGGAGGGCTCGGCGTAATAATCCGGCGGGAATGAAGGCTACCTTACCACAGTGGGGAAGGGAGAGGAAAATACGAGGTAAAGGGAAACGAACAAATCTTAAACATAGGGTGAAGTGTTTATTTTTTTTTTTGGGAGATTCTTACGTAACCATTCTATCGGAGTTGTAACCATTAAATCAACTATCCACACAGTTATATGATGATCTAACGGTTATAAATTCCGAATGAATTATTCCGTAATGGGACTGTAGCATTTCTCCTTTTTTTTTTTTTACTTACTAAAATCTTTTTACAAACTCCATTTAAATTTGGTACGTTATTTATAATTTTTATTAAAAATACTGATATAAATATAAAAATAAAAGATTATATATTTCAGATGTAAATGTTCGTGTTCGGTTAACAAATGAGCCAAATAATCTGTTCAAGCTCGGATGATTAATAAAAGAACTAGTTTTAGTCGAACATTCATTTTAATCTGAATGGAGTAATGTTCGTCAACGTTCTGTTCGTTTACAGCTTAAAGGAGACAAAACAAAATTTGTAATAATAATAAACTTTAAACATCCAAGAAGCTTCAAAAGACTATTAACAACCAATCAAAATCAGAAAATAGCAAAATATATCATTCTCCATTGACAAAAATATCAACATCTACACTTGACTACCATCCTTGATCTCTGAAGCTCAGTTTACAACCAGAACGAGCACACGCATTGGCCAAAAAAAAAAAAAAAANNAAAAACCAACACGAGCATTTGTTTAAATAACAAAACAAATCACTCTCTTATCTTAGTATACAAAGTTGTCAAATTCGAGAAGCGAAGGAAGACGAACAAACAAACGTCCACACGTTTGTGTTCTAACTTTCCCTCTTCCTTCAGTCTAAAAATCTAAAATATGAAAAGGAAAAAAAAAAACGAACAATCATTGCCTCACAGAATGATTTCTGTAGCTACACGACCAACCAGCACACACGATCACACAAAAGGGGGCCGTTCAATTGACAGCGCCAAAAAAAAAAAGAAAAGAAAAAAAAGAAAGAAAGAAAGAAAGAAAGAAAAACGAAGCATAATTTATTTCGAGACTCAATTCACAGCCTGAGGAGAAGGTTTACTCTCTTGGAGGGAGATCACGGTTTCGAAAGCTCCCACAAGGGCTTTAACCTTACTTTTCCTACTCTCCACAAGCTTACTTGCAGTTTGTTCTATAACATTATTAAACAAACCTTGGTGACCTTTCTTGCCCTGAACATCTTGGTGCTTTAAGACAACCTTTTCAGATGAAACCTCCTCACGGCTCTTATTCCAATCACTAATAAAATCACTCTTCTTGAATAATTTTCTCCTCAAATCACTACTTTTGCCTTCATCATCATCCCGAACGACTCTCGCGTTCCTAAATCTGAGTTTACTCGGGACATTAGCACTATTATTCAACTGAGCATCCAAAAATTTCCCATTTCTGAATTTCAGCTTCACTGGAGACCGAGTTTTGTTGTAATCTTCAGATACAGAAGACTTTGACTTTTTAAGAGTCTTACTATGATTTTTCTTCACAATCTCAAGCGACTCGTTTTCCTCGGAGATAAATTCATTTGCTTCTTCACCATTAGCGAACTCCCTCTTCTCCTCATGCTCTTCCTCGGGACAGGACAAAAATGAAAAATTTGGTGGAGGAGAAAGTGACAAAACGGGCTCGTCATTTGGTGTGGACTCGTTTGCAGTATTCACATTTTTTGTGTCGATCACGTGCAATATTTTCTCAGAGTCCTTCTCATTATTATCAACTCTTCTCATCACTTTATTTATGTCCCTTGAACGAGACACCGATTTTGCATTTCCAGCTTTTCTCGAATTATCGTAAGGCCTCTTGATGACCGGAAATTTAGGAGAGAAAGTGGCTGCAGAAGGTACCAATGCTTTCTTTCCAGATTCTCTTTTGAAAGATATCATAGTTCGTGTGTGCTTTATCCCCTTTTCCCGTACAAGATCCAAATTTTCAGTAGAAGATAATGCCGGTTTAACCTTAACTGGTTTCAACTTCACAGGAGAAGAACTTGGCTTGGACAGGCGATTCGATTTCTTCTCAGTGGATAATGTTTTGTTACCAGCCAAGGAGAAGCTCTTCACTGGTTCATCATCGTTTGCAGAAGGAAAACACACACTCTTGACGAATTCTGGAGGATCGAGCGAGGGACCTTTCTTGGTAAATAAAGATTTGGTCTTTTTGAAAATGGGTTTACTCTTTGACGAACCATTTTCATTTGGGGAAGAACCGGTTTTGGCACCTGATGAATTTTTGGTTTTTGTGAAGGAGGGCTGCTTTTTATCATGAGAGAGGAGGATTTTAGTATCCAGCAAAGGCTCGTTTTTTAAAACCTTCTTACCCGAGGATGATGTGTTGGGCTTCAAGGAATAGGATATGGTGCTTTGAGTTGGGTTTAAATCAGATGAGTTGCTTTTTTTGGTATCAGTTTCTGGTTTGTGCTTGACAATTTTTTCTTTCTTTTTCTCGCACGGAACAATTATCTGCACAAAAGGCTCGTCCCGTAAAGATTTTGAGATCCTTTTTCTGAAGGGCTTTCTTCCCTTTTCTTCGGCTGAATGTATTTTTCCGAATTTACAGAAATCGTGACAAGAGCCAATGGATGCACGAAGATAACGTGAGACCACTTCTCGTTTATCGAACGCAGAATCCGATTTTGAGGGGGAATTTGCCGGTGAGCTGCAAGAATCACTCTTGCTCAAGTTTTTCTCT